TGTAAAAGCCACACATTAGACATGAAGATGATACTTTTGACTTGAAATATTAGACAATATTCCTCATTCAAGTTTGTTTCCATCATATGACTCAGCCTACTTGATTAGAAAGGTTGGAGGGTTTTTTTCCATCTACTTAAAACTCTCCATCTCCTGACCCACTTCTCTCCCTGTGCCTTATGACTAGGATAACTTCTTTTTATTTAAACCAAATAATCATTCTTTTAGGAAATCATTTTTGGAGAGAAAAAGATAGTTCAAAATATTTTCTTCTTGAGTAGATACAGAGTAAAGAAGCTGACCCTAGCTTTGAGAAATGTGATTGGAAAGAAAAAGGAACTATAAGGAATATTTTACATATTGTACATGTCATACTATATAAAGGTCATATTAATATGTCATATTATACTGTCATAAGGGCTAAACCACAAAGTTAAGACTCATTTAAGGCTGTAGAAGTGGACTAACATGGGATGTGGTAGTCTGTTATATCTAGAAGACCCCAGTCATACTTAACTTGGCTCCCCAGTCATCATCTGATCAATCTTGTTGGTTTACCACTTTTCTCATTATACCAGAGGCCATGCCCTAAAGGATATAACCTTTTGAGCTCCAGAACTCCTTCTCTGGTTTCCCTTTTAGAACTGGCATGGTTCACCAAATCTAAGAGGCCCCAGCCATGCTTCTGTACCCCTTAGCCATCTTCTCACCAGCTGCCTTGCCACCTGGACCAAACACCATTGCCTGGAAGTTTTAACCCTTTCAGTTCCAGAATTCCTTCACTGGATCCCCCAGCATCCTGATTGTCCCATGTGGCTCATTATATCTAAGAGGCTCCAACCATGTTTCACTTTATGCCCCCTCCATCTTTTTATCATATCGCTCTACACATGTATTCTTCACAGTCTTCCTGTTCCTCAATACAGTTCTGGAACCATGATCAAATCAATACTATTATTACCACAGGAAAGATAAAGTCAGTATACTTTCCTATGGCTCTATTCACCATCTTTGTAATTTTCTAAACCAAAATACCCCTCCTTGTCCATCACCTCATATATGTATTGCCTCCCTTTATTAGAATGTCAGTTCTTTGAGGCCAGGAACTGTCTTTGCTTTTGTGTTTAATCCTTGGTACTTCGCTCAATGCTTAGCACAGAACAGGCATTCAATAAATTCTTTTTCATCTTTCATTCATTCATATGACAATACATCAACTAAGAAAGTCTCAGTGTTGAGATGTTTGGAAAGCAAGGGTAGGGAATAGTGAAACAAGGAGAAAAGAAGAGAGCACCAATTTTGTGGTTTAACACAGGATATGTTTGTTTATTCAGGTGATGCTGAAGTGGAAAGTGAGGAGAAGTCAATTTTTTAAAGGAATATTAGTCAAAAATTATTGAGAGAAGATGGAGAACTACAGAATTTTGTTGTTCAATCATTTCAATCATGCACAACTCGTCATGAGTTTTGGGGTTTTCTTGACAAAAATACTGGAGTGATTTTCCATTTCCTTTTCCAGCTCATTTTACAGATGAGGAACTGAAGCAAACAGGGTTAAGTGACTTCCCCAAGGTCACATTACTAGTGTCTGAGGACAGATTTGAACTCATGAAGATGAGTCTAACCTCTGTACTCTATCTACTGCACCACCTAGCTACCCAAACTATAGGATAATGATATTACAAATAAGGTACTATATAGCAATTGGGTTAACAATAGGCAGTAGGAAAACAATCAGCTCTTGGTATCCCTTGGATAGTTAAATTCCAAGGGATTCACTAAAATTGAAAAAATTAAAAAAGATAGGGCCATTTGTCAAGTGAATAAGCAGTTTTGTGGTGGAGGCCAAGGAAAGAATGGAATTTGGTGTCTGAAGAAAAGGCTAAAGAATTAATTATAGATTGAGTCTTTAATATAAATGAATGTAGATAACTTCCTTCATTTTAGGCAGTTTAAAGCAACCCCGTGAATAGATACATGAAAGTCAACACAATATGAAGACAAACTCAGGTTGAAAAGATGTTTAAAAAATTCATTTCATAAAATCCCAATGTCCCATAAAATGGTTCTGTACTTTTTTACCTCTTTACTTTTGCTCACATAATTTCTCCACTTGGACTGGCTTCTCTTTCAACTCTTCTTCTAGTACTAAACTCAAGACCTATCTACTTTGTGAACTCCCTCCCAAATAGAACAGACTTATTCATGATCCCAAATTGTCTGAGGTGGAATTTGAACACAAGACTCCAAGTTCAGAGCTCTGGCCACTATTCCACACTGTCTCTGGTTTTTAACTACATGATCTCTAAGGTCCTTTAGATCTCAAATTGTTAGCATAGCTTGGAAGACAGTATTGCTAAATTTTGAAGGGAGGAAGATAGCTGTTCCAGTCAATACATCTATGAAACACACCAACCTATCTACCATGTGTACAGCCTATAAGTGTAATGGAATGTTTCTGGAAAACCATAATCTATAATACTTTCATCCATGGTTAAAATAGTTCTCTTTTGTGGGGAGAGGGTGTTGACACTAACATCTCTGAGAAAACTCTGATGGTTGGCAAAAGGTAATAGTAAGGGCATGGTCACAGTGGGCACACTCATGCCATAAGACTGCAAGTCACACCAGTACAGGAGGCCATTCTCCTAAGACTTGTGGACCTGCTTCAGTATAAAAGTTGAAGAGTTGAAGGAATGAAGAGAAGGTGGGGAGTAGTATACCAAAATAAAGGAATTCTTGGAAGTTACACTGGCCAGGGTAGCAATGATGCATAAACCTGTAGAGGACCGTAAAGCACAAGGCACTATAGTCTGGAGATTGACATGGAGGGAAAGTATGCTCCCCATATTATGGTCGTGATTCTCATTCTAAGGTATCCCCAGCACAAGGGCCATGAAGGGATTATTAAGCTGGAGGCATTGTGAGGCAGTTGGTTGTCTGTTAAATAAGAACTATTCCGAGCTAGGAAGAAGAAGTTAGTAGAAATTTGAAAGAGTGCTTGAATGAGGAATCCATTTATGGGACACTCTATTCCAGGTAATTATTGAACCTAATAGAGATAATAACATAGGTCAATGACTTTTTGATTGAGAGGTGAGAATGGGCCCAGATTAGTAACAGTGCATACAGTGGCTGGGATGGTAGGAAAGTTTGTGAATTTAGAAGTCAGACACTGGAGATTACAGTCCTACAAGAACTAGCAATACTAGGTTTCTATTGTAATATCCCTGATCATCTGGTCTCACAATGCTGCACATGTCTAGTGCTAGAATGATACAGGATATCTAGAGTAGAAAGAGAAATAGAAACAGGCCCAGAATAGTCCTTCTATATACCCATGATTAGGGGGCAGGAAATGAATGATGATCCACCAAAAGAGACTAAGAAGAAAAAAAAATTTTTTTAAAATAAAAATAAAAATAAAAAAATAAAAAAACAAATGAGACTAAGAAGGAAGAGGCAGAAAAAAATTAAGACAGGTGGAATTGAGAAGAGGGAGTTTTTCAGCAGCTGAGAATGGTTTGAGAACATTTTTGAGTTCATTGAATAGCTAATAGTCTAATGTGGCTAGAACAGAGAAAGCATGGAAAGAAACCCTATGACATAAGACTGGGAAGAGTTTGTATTTTATGCAAGAGACAATAGGAAGCCATCTGAGATTTTTGAGCAGGGGAGTGACAGAGATCTTTATCTTAGAAAAATTACTTTGGCAGCTGTGCGAAGGGCAAGAAAGCCTTGACATTAGATGCACAAAGACCAGAGAGAGACCTAAGTACTTGCTGTGTTGTGCCTGCCATCTTTGTCCAATGGTATGGACACCAACTATGTCGGGGGTTGGTGACAGGAGGAGGCCTGCCAAAAGCAGGAGAGAAATCCCTGGCAGTATGGAGGAGAGAGCTTTAATGATCATATTCCTAGAAGTATTTGCTTTGTGCTGGGAATAATCAAATAATAGTTGAAATTTTATGTCTGATGGTTAAGATTTAAAAATAGTTTTACATATTTGTATCATTTGATTCTTACAACAGCTCTGTGAAGTAGAAACTGCTGGCATTATTCCATTTTATCCATAGGGAAACTGAAGCTCAAAGGAGGGAAGTAGCTTGTACAGGATCTCTGAGCTGGCAAGTATCAGAGGTGACATTTAATTCCATTCTCTCCTCACTCCAAGACTGGAACTTGTTCCCCTACCAATGGTCCTCAAAGTATGGTCCAGGGATCCCTACGTGACCCCAAAACTCTTTCAGAGTATCCACAAGATCAAAAGCTATAACAATGCTATAATGTTTTAATTTCTAATATGGTAAATACCAATAGATATAAACCAAAAGCTCTTTGGTGAGGCCCTTAATAATTTTTAAGAACATAAATGGATCCAGAGACCAAAAAGTAACAGAAACACTGGCCTACACCATACATATCCATAAGGTAGACTATATAATGTCCCAACCAGGATCATTTCCAGGACTTTCGGTTATTTTGCTCGCAACTTAGCAATGAAGTGAGGTGTGACACACTAATGACCATCATAGAATGATTTGGTATTGGGAAGGTTAGAATTGATGGAGAGCAACAATTCTACCAACCCACTAGCTGTTTTGGTGGGGAATAGGTACACAATATGGCCATGGCAGGAATAGTATTTAGGATATGGTAGCTCAAGGGATACAAGCCCTGCCTCAGTTAGAGATCAGGTCAATTATCTTCTCTAAACAAAGGTCACAGTGATGAGTCTCTGTTCCTCTTCATCCCAACCTAAGATTCTGCTATTAAAACTAGAACCCTCTTTCAAATGGAAGGTAGAGGGAATTTGGTTTCCCCACCTCTTTCACCCTACATCTTACTTCACCAATATCCCTTTGATGTAATCACAGATGATAAATACTACATGTGGGCCTTACTTTCTCATTTTATAAAATATGAGGGGTGGACTGGATGGATTTGGATGGAACTGCAGGCATAAAACATTATATAAGCCATCCAATTTAGCTGATTTATTAGCTTTGTTGAAATGATTTCTTTTCTTTATATTCCTTGTTGTGGGATAATTTTCTGTGTAATAATATTTAATAATTACAAAAGTTATCACATATTTTTAAAGTGTACAAATCACTTTATATTTATTATTTCATTGTATCTTCATAATATTTGTGGAAGGTCGGTGCCATCACAATTTTTTTTACAATTTACAAATGAGGCAGATGAGACTGAGATAGAGTAAGTAGCTTGCCCAAGATCACACAGCTAGAAAGTGGTTGAGGCAGTATTTTAACTCAGGTCTTCCTGAATTCAAGTCTAATGGTGTGTCCATTATGCCATCTGGGGAATGGGGGGAAGAGACATACTTTCTTAGATGAAGGTGATGTCAAAACAAAAGACAGAGACAAAAATGGAAACAAAACAAAGAAAAAATAGTAACTAATACAGGCCCTCCATTATTCAAAACAGTCACAAAAGAGAAGACAACTGTAGCAGCCCAATTGGGATAGACTTTTAAAGACTGAGGATCAAGTAGCATGATCAATCAATCACATTGTACTCAGAACAAGGGAATCAATCAATCAACTAGCACTTATTAAAGACCTACTAATGAAGTGCTCAGTAAACAAAGAGAAAAAGAAAACAGTTCCTGCTCTCAAAGAATTTACACGCCATCAAGAAAACAATGTGTAGCCAACAAATATGTAGCACCTGTGTTATGCGCACAAAAGGTTTGAGCAGATGGTATCCCAGAGTTCACCACATGATGATATGTTTAGAGGACCCTGGGAAAAAGAAGCTTGAAGCCAGAATGAGTAGCTATTCCTGTTACCCACAACATGAGAGAAAGACAGGTGGTATTCTGTCCCTGAGTGCTAGCTTCTCTGCCCCTTCCTCCATGACCCAGTTGGTATCAGAAGCTGCAGAGTAATGGTCACTTCTCTCTGCCCCATTGATAAAAATTGATGATAAAAGTGATGAGATCATAGGGCAGCCAGAGGTAGATTTCTTTTCACTTATCTGTTAACAAGGAATTAAACCATAGTGCTCTCTATTAAACTGTTCCTTTGGGAATGGGCTGAGTTTAAAAGAAGTTAATTCTTCTATAGCTCATGTGGGTATGCAGCTTCTTCCTATACAAATGGACTATCCTCCCCACTGCTCATTGTCCTTTCATTGATTCCATTTTATTCTCCATATGAAAGAAATTCTGGCAGCCTCACCTCCTTCCTTGTGTGATTAATATTAACACATTAGATAAGTGGGGAGAGGTTTTGAATTAAGACAATTCATAATTTCTCCATCCTTTTCTTCCTGGTACTGAATTTCATTTCTCCTTTTCCTCTACCACCATACTTTTTAGGCACTTAACAAATGGCCCTAACTCTTTCAGGTTTTTTTTTTTTCAATCACCTTAAGTTGAATTACCTTGGAAGCCCTGAATTACTTTTTTTAAATTCCTGCACATTGTTACTTGGCAATCTCTATTAAGAGCCTGAATTGAAAGATTATCATCCTAGAGTTCTCCATCATAACTCAATAATTCCACTCATTCTTTTTAAAAAAAAAATTTTAATTCCCATCCCCTGTTATTATAGACTCTCCTTGCCTTGACTAAAACAAGATCAAAAAAACTTATTTTGGGTCTTCCAACTGGCGCCCTCTAGTGTCTCATTGTGCTCCATCATTTTTTTTTTACTTATGCTTTCCAAACACTATTGAGATTCAACCTTTCCTTTTAAGTTGAAGTTGCCACCTCACATCCTACATTAATTGATTTCTATTACCTTCTCTGATTTTTCAGCATACAGTTTAGCCAATAAGACTTACATAAATTAAATTCCTTAGAGTTTTAAAAAAAATCTTCCTTGCCTTCCAAAGGGGATTTTTTCACTATTTTTGCTAAAAAAGAAATACTTCAATCTTTTCTCTAAAATAATTATTTTCTAAAAGAATGACTTCTATTCAGAGATAAACAGACTATCCTAGGCATAAGAAAGAGAAGAAAAAGTGACTCGAAATTGAGAAGATTCAAGGAGCTTCACAAAGGATTCAAAAATCCTCAGTAAACAGGGAGATTGAATAACAAGGAGAAATTAGTTATTAAAGTACAAATGAGTGGGAAACCTTAGCGGCAAGTAACTTCAGTATGATAGAGTTGATGAGAAACAGAAAAACATTTGCCCAGTCCAGATTTCAAAAGATTAATGGAAAGAATGGATAGTATCCAAAGATTTTGAAGGGATGTTGACCCAAAGGGATGAACACTCTTGGGAACAAAATTCTGAAAACACAGCCAGCGAAGCACAACACTGGATTTGGAGGTAGAGGACCTGAATCCAATCCTGGTTCTGCTACTCAACTCTTGTATGACCTTGGACAAGTATTTTAACCTCTCTAAACTATGATTTCTTCATCTGCAGATTAGAGGCATCAGACTAATTGCTCTAAAATCCCTTCTAGCTTTAAATCTAAGATTCTGTGATCTTATGAAATGATTCTGATAAAATATAATGAGGAATATTGTTTAATCTCTCAGGTCAGAAGAATTATCTTCAAGTGTGGCTTATTACACTAGGGTTTCATTATGAATTGTTCACAAGAAGCAATATGATCATATCCAATGTCAATCAGAAGTCTGTATTTGGCACAGTAGATAGGGGGTCAAGGAGTGGGTAAGACATCTGCTTTGTTAGCCATTTACATCTTGACTTTACAGAAAGGGATTCCATCTGGTCCTCAGATGTGGGCAAAATAGATAGTTGAGTGCCAATGCTAATCATATCACAAAGAAATTAGGAAATGTCTTATATTGTCTTGGTGCATACATTTCATGGACTCAAAAAACTTAATGTGTTCTATGCATTAAAATTAAACACTGCAGCCAGGATTTCATCTCTCAATTGTAGTCAGCCTAAGGTAGAAAAACCCCTAACACCCTTTGTAATCCAAGCAATGCTTTTAAGAGATTCTTTGGGACTTCATGAGTGTCATAAGCCTTGATCTCATAAGATTCCATAATTTCCCCATGGCCATCTTCATCTCTTTGTTCCTTAATGTGTAGATGGTGGGGTTCAGAAAAGGAGTGATAATTGAGTCAAAAAGGGCAAGGTATTTGTCCACTGGAAATGTGGGGAATGGCCACACATAGACAAAGATGCATGGACCAAAGAACAAGATCACCACCAAGATGTGAGCTGACAGTGTAGAGAGGGCCTTGGATGAAGCCCCAGAAGAGTGCTGCCGGACAGTGATCAGGATGACAATGTAGGAAATGATCAAAATGAAGAAGGCTCCCAGAGAGATGAACCCACTATTGGCAGTAATCAGGAACTGCAGTCTGTAAGTGTCTGTGCAGGCAAGTCTAATGAACTGAGGTAGGTCACAGTAAAAGCTATCTAATTTGTTAGGGCCACAGAAGGGTAACTTTATTACAAAGGCCAGTTGGAGGAAGGAGTGAGTGATTCCAATTGTCCAAGAAGTTACTAGAATAGAAATGCACACTCTTAAGTTCATAATAGTCAGGTAATGGAGAGGCTTACATATTGCAATGTAGCGGTCAAAGGCCATAGCTATGAGAAGCACCATTTCAGTAGCTCCAACAGCATGAATAAAGAAGATCTGAGAAACACAACCTTCAAAAGAAATGAGTTTCTCCTTCTTAAAAAGGTCAATAATCATCCTGGGAGTTCCAATGCAGGAATCAATTATGTCAATGAAGGAGAGGTGGGCCAGCAGGAAGTACATGGGGGATTGTAAGAGAGAGTCAGAGGCCACTGTGAGCACAATCAGAGTATTCCCCAGTATACCTGCCAAACAGAACGCAGAGGAAAATACAAAGAGAATGAGTTTCATCACCCAAGAATTGGTGAGTCCCATCAACACAAACTCAGAAACCGTAGATTGGTTTGCTACATCCATTATCTAAATCAGCATGACTAGTTCTGAAGTAACCTAAAAGGGAAAAGAGTAAAAAAAGAATCAGAGAAAGAGGGATTTTTGGGAAAGTCTAAGAGCAGTGCATGTGCTTTCATAATTATTGTCTCATAACAAGACAGTCAACAACAACAACACCTTCATTAGGGATCACCATTAGTACCCATTTAACTTTTTCCTCAGCACTAGGCATTGCTACACCTACCATCTCCTGCCAGTACTTCTCACCAAACCCATTGCCATAGAAAATAGAAATTTACTCCTATTTTCATGTACACTACTCTGACAATTATTTTTAAATGGCTAATTCTTGGATTTAGATATGTGTTACCTAAATTTAGTTTCATATATTCATTGAATTCATGAGATTGAAAAAAAAAACTTGGAAACTAAATCTAATCCAAAGCTATCATCTTAAATCTATAAAAACAGGTTCACAGAGGTTACCAGCTAACACCTGACTTAATGTATTTAGCTTATGAAGTGCTAGTTCTGCTCTTAAATGGACATTACAAAGGATTTCCACAATGTTTACTTTTTAAATGTCTGTTCTTGTGTAGTGTATGTTAGGATAGTTGTAGTGTAGGGGGAAATAGGATAGATCTGGTGTCAGAAAACCTATGTTCAAATACTAATTCAGTCATCATGTGACATTATGTAAGTAACTATATGACCTGAGCTATGAGGCCTTAGGTAAGTAAATTAACTCCCCTTTCCTTCTATTTTTTTATTTACAAAATCAAGGAAGTAGTCACTGTTCTATCCATTAGCAGGTGTTTCATGATAAATATTTTATAAAATACATAAAAATCTATTAAATTTTTAATAATTGTAACTATAGTTGCTCATATTTATGTAGTACTTTAAGGTTTTTGAAGTGTCTTCCTCACAATGACCCTGTGAGGAAAGAAGGACAAGTATTATTTGTTCAATTTTACAAATAAGAAAAACTAAGGTGACTTGCCCATGATGACACAAGTAGTCAAGGTAGATTTCATTTTCAGGTCCCTTGGATCCAAGTCAAGCTTTGTCCTATCTATCTACCCATTTTAATATTTTCACTTTTACATAAAATATCTTTTAATATATGGTAGAAGCTATGCCCTTTTAATACACTTAACACAGAGAAGCACTTAATATGTCTTTGTTTGTTACAATAATACTAAGACTTACAGATGTTGAAGGAAGTTTAGATGGTCATTTATTGCATATATCTGCCACCTACTAGGATAACATTAAATCAGTCTGTATAAATGGTTCCTCAACTCAAGTAATTTCTTCTTTCCATTTGAAATGTCCCTCTCTAATCTGCTGTTGCCAAAACAATCCAATTTTTCCCATCTGGAAAGATAATCCAATTTTACAGACACTGGTTTGATGTAAACTATTTGTGGAATTAATTTCCAAGCTGAGCTGGTAAATGCAAGTATTTACTATGTCTTCTTCCTTCTTGAATCTTTCCAAAACTTGGATGGAGCAGGAGTAGGCAATGGTGACCCCAGCATGGAATCAGGTACAATCACTAGGGGAAAAATGGACCAGACAAGGTAAAACAGGAGAGCTCAACAACAGCAAAAGCTAGGAGTCTAATTTAAGAATTCAAAAAGAATGAAAACTACAGGATAGGAGCTATGGAACTGAGGCATTTGAATACAGAGACTAAGAGAAACAAGAAACATTGAGTAGGAGATTGAGTACCAAAGTAACAAATAAGAAAAGATAAAAATTAAGAGGAAAAGATAGAAGGAGAAAAAGAGAAAAGAAAAAAAAAGACATCAGAGGGAAGTGAGGGAGAAATGTGTATGGTGGGGACAAAGAAATATTATACCATGGGAAAACATCATTGAATTTAGATTTGGAAGGGATAGGTCATTTAATGCAACGCCCTCATTTTACAGGTGAGGAACTTGAGATGTAAAGAAATTAAAAGACTTTAAGGTCACACAGTTAAAATAGGGTTAAGATTTGAACTCTACGGTAGTAGATATTTGAATACAGGTCCAGCATCTTCAAATCAGAAGCCATTTATATCCCCAAACCCAGGAAGATAGAAATTAAGCTTAACATTGCTTCACCATATGCTTTGTGATCACAACTAGATTATAAACTCTTTAAGATTTAGGACAAGGTTTTAATCATCTCTTTATCCCCCCTCCAGTCTAGCAGATAGCTTTTTACACTAAATACTCAATAAATATTTGTTACTTGAGGGACTGAATCGATGAGTGGAAGTAGAGACAAACAACTGAGGAGAAAAGAAAAAAATAAATAGAATTGTAAATAAAGTACAGATTATAGAGAAGAATATAGAGCCATGTAGAGGGGGAAAGGCTCACAGAGATATTAATGGTAGCTTTCTCACCCATTCTGTGAAAGAGTAAATCAGTAACATATTCGGAGGTCTAAGGATCTCAGAGAGTATAAAGTTCTCTCTTACAGCAAAATATCTTTCAAAAGAAAGGGTTCTGTGTAACTTTTTCCTAATAGTAAAGGTGGGTAATTAGCCAGATAATGTTAGTGATGTTGCTGAGATTTGGGAATAGCCAGTCTGGGATTTACTAGACCTGGGAATCGTGCCATAGAATAATGGTGATTTTCCCAAAGGTCAAAATGTTAGAAGGGTTCCTAAGTAATGAAAGGAAGAGGAGAGAGGGGGAAGAAAAGTGGCTCCTGGGAGCTGGGTGATTTACCCTGGTTGAAATGAGAGGAAATTCATTTGGTGTGAAATGAGCCTCAATAAGTGAGTGACGAGCAAGATAGACTTGACTAATTGAGATAAACACTGGTGAGAATATCACAAAATCACACAATATAAGATTTGAAAAGATGGTAAGAGACTGTCCAGTCCAACCTACCATACATGACTAAATATCTCTTTTAAAACATCTCCAATAAGTAGCCCTCTCAAAGACCTCAAACAGTCGAACTTCCTCCTATGTAGTGTCCTTTCCCTTCAGCACAAAGAGCCATATAAAATGTTACGATAATAAGAAAGGCAGCTAATTAGTAGCTTTGAATGGTAGTGACCAAGTGATGCTACAGAGATCTAAGACTGCCAACCTAAACTCATGTGGCAAATAAATTATCTCCTAGAATTGTTAGTTTTCCCAGGGGAACCAAGGAGTGAAAACATTAATAAGGAGAATAGGACCTTTTTTGGAAGCCCTATATGATTTTCTTTACTAATTTAGCAATTTTTATACAGTGAGATGAATAGGGAATAATCCCTAGAGAACATTAAAAAAGGCAATTTCAGAAATGTGATGACAATTATACTATTTCCAGAATTCTGGTGTGTGTCCTATACAATTGAATCTGGAAAATGGGAAAAGAAGCTACATGGATGTTTCAGCTTAAAAAAAAACAAACAAAACCACAAAGGATATGAACAGGTACTTTTCAGACAAAGAAATTAAAGCTATCTGTAGTCATATGAAAAAATGCTCTAAATCACTATTGATTAGAAAAATGCAAATCAAAATTATTCTGAGGTACCATATCACACCTATAAGATTGGCTAACATGACAAAACATGTGTATGATAAATGTTGGAGAAGATGTGGGAAAATTGGAACACTAATACATTGTTGGTGGAGTTGTGAACTGATCCAACCATTCTGGAGAGCAATTTGGAACTATACCCAAAGGACTATAAAATTGTGCATACCCTTTGGCCCAGCAACACCTCTTCTAGATCTGCATCTCAAAGAGATCATAAAAATGGGGAAAAGATTCATATATACAAAAATATTTATAGCAGCTCTTTTTCTGGTGGCAAAGAATTAGAAATTGAGAGGATGCCCATGAATTGGGGAATGGCTGAACAAGTTGTGGTATATGAATGTAATGGAATAATATTGTGCTATAAGAAATGATGAGCAGGCAAACTTCAGAAAAATCTGGAAGGACTTATATGAATTGATGTTGAGTGAAGTGAGCAGAACCAGGAGAACATTGTACACAGTGACAGCCACATTGTGCGATGACCAACTTTGATAGACTTAGCTCTTCTCAGCAATGCAAGGATCTAAGACAACTCCAAAAGATTCATGATGGAAAATGCTATCCAAGTCAAGAGAAAGAACTTTGGAGTCTGAATGCAGATCAAAGCTTACTATTTGCTGTCTCCTTTTTTTGTTTGTTTTGTTTCTTCTTTCTTGAGGTTCCTCCCATTCATTGTAATTCTTCTTTACAACATGACTAATGTGAAAATATGTTTAATAAGAATGTATATGTACACCCTATATCAGATTGCACACCATCTTGGTGAAAGGGGAGAAAATGTAAACTCAAAACCTTAAGAAAGTAAATGTTAAAAGTTAAAAATAAATAAATCAATTATTTAAAAAAAACCAGACCCAAAATGTGGAGTCCACATAAATTCCAATGTAATCTAAAGATAATCCACTCCAAGTAAATTGGAAGCAAAGCAATTTGTTGATGAGTAAGATGATTTTGGTCAAGTCAAGTGCATGAGCTCCAATGTATTACAAGCAGCCCCCAACTTAGAAATGGGTTGAATTCTAAAAGTTAGCTTCCAAGTTGGTTCAAATGAGAAAATAATGTACTTTAAACACTTTGGAAACCAGAAGGAATTGCAAAAGTTTCAACTATTACTATTGTTGGGATGGGGCTGCATCTGTGATTTCATCAGCGTAGGGAACTCCCAATGAGAAAACTTCTACCAATGCATATTGGCACATTGTCCTTAACTTATAGTCTTAGAAAATTTCAGGCTTCCCTGAGGGGTTAAGTGACTTGCCTTAGGGTCAGAGTGTGTGTCAGAATGTTTCAGAGGCAGGATTTGAAGCTTGATTTTTCTGACTTTAAGGACACAATTCTACATTATACCATAATGGTACCAGAGTTGGTTTATATTTGTAGTGGGAGCCATCTCCAGTCATCCTGATCTATATCTTGCCACTGGACCCGGATGGCTCTGGAGGAAAGAGTGAGGCTGGTGACTTTACACAGCCCTGCCTCTC